GTGAGGAGGGAGGGGTGGGGGAGGGGAAGGGTGGGGAGGAATTGTGGGAAAAGTGAAGGGAATGGGCAGGGGAATGAAGAAAGAAAATAGAAAGAGGGGGCATGAGTGGAAAAAGAGGGGGCATGTTAGAATGAGGAGGAAGAGGAGAAGTGAAAAAATATAAATGGTAGTTTAAGTGAGAAGAAAGCGAGTATTGAAAAGTTGGAAAGGGCGGAATGCGAAAGTTGCAATAAATTAAATTAAAGAAAGGAGTAAAACTAAAGAAAGAAGTGCTAGAGTTAATTTTTCCAAATATTTTATTCAAGCGTCCACTTGTATCCTACACAGACCCACCGGTGTGCCGTGACCCACCCAACCAGACCATCGCCATAGCACCGGGCCAACCCACCACCTTGGTGTGCCGTGTCGACTCTTACCCTAAACTGGTGGGTTTACCCTAAACTGATATGTTTACCCTAAACTGGAGGGTTTACCCTAAACTGGTGGGCTTTATTTAAACTGATATGTTTACCCTAAACTGGTAGGTTTACCTAAACTGATATGTTCACCCTAAACTGGTGGGTTTACCCTGAACTGATATGTTTACCCTAAACCGATATGTTTACCCTAAACTGGTGGGTTTACGCTAAACTGATATGTTTACCCTAAACTGGTAGGTTTACCTAAACTGATAATTTACTCTAAACTTGTGGGTTTACCCCAAACTGGTGGGTTTACTGTAAACTGATATGTTTACCCTAAACTGATGGTTTTACCCAAAATTGTGAGGGTGGTCGTATCAGCATACTCGGCTGGTCGTTATTAATAAATATAGTTCATTTTTTACAGGATTCAAAATAAACAAATGCTGTAAATTTACTTGCGCATCCACCTCATCCAGTGAGTGCAATAATAGGTGTCTATGCATTGTGCGCATTAGCTCTTCGTCTAATAATTTTTAATATTAATAATAATAATATAACAATAATAGAATAGCGTCGCCTAAGAGAGCGATGTCTCGATGTTTCATCAGGGTTTCAACGCAGTATGATCAATTTCAATTTAATTATTAATTATGATTAATAATTATTATGATTAATGTATAATTTAGAACGAGGAAACGTTTTCCTGCAAACGCTTTCGTTGCAAATTAACTGAATTTGTTTTGCATGCTGTAAAAAAAAGAAAATTACCCTAGAGAAATAAACATACATTTTTTGGGAAAATATTCTGCCAAATTTGTTTTTTTCAACAAATAATTTTAATTGAACTAATGAAATATCTGCACAAGTTAGATATCGGTAGTTACAATGATGACTAGCCTTTACTTTTTATAATTTCTAATTAGATTTAATGCCCATAATTAACCACCATAAAGTTTTTGTCCAATATCATTCATAACTAAGAATACTGCCGACGATTAACCATGAATTATTTGTTGTCCACATTGCATTTCCAATTGCGAGAAGTCAAATTCGAAAAAAATTAAAATAAGAGCATTTATTTGGACAAAAAATGTAATTGCCCTGATTGATTTAGTTGAATTTCGTCAGCACCTGCAACGATTATAATTCGTGGTATTTTGGACAAGTATGTCGCAGACTCATGGGTTTTCTCTTCAAGAATGTTACAAAATTTCCCTTTTTGATGTAAAAATGTCCACAATGAAAAAGATTTACGGTTGTAGAATTTCGGCATCAATAAAGCAATTTAAAAGCTGCCGCGCGTTCATAGATTTCACTCTGCCCCGCAAAAAATCTGAATTGCGATAACAAAAACATTGCCTCCTTGTTTTTTGCAGCACGTCACCTTAATTTGGATTCCATGGATTGTTGAGCCTGTTTGATTGGTGAACCAAGCTTCTATATCTGCTGTTCCTACAACCAATCGTTTCTAGCAATTCTTTGTAGAGCTTGTCACCATTTCATTTATCTTCCATTGGAAAATCTTATTCTAAACATTTGTATTTTATTGAGAGCAAGAAAAAAATTAAGACTATTAAAGTTATAGATGAGATAATTGATGCAAAATTTATTGGGCAGATTTTTTGGCTGCAATAGCTTCTTATTTGTTTTGATGCAGAACTTTCGAAAAATGAAAATCATTTATATTAACTGTGAGAATGTTTCATTCTAGTTAAGGGTGATTGTTGAATATAGAAGGCACCATTTTCTGTGGCTTTGTGGTGAAAATAGTACATGGAAAATATTTATTTTTCTCAGGGAATAGAAGACTATGTTTCATTAATAGGTTTTAAGATATATGAGCATGAAAAATAACGTTTAGCTTATCGTGGTGCGACAGTGAATTACTCCTGTAGGTACAGAAGATTGAAAAGTTTAATAAGATTTTGAAAAATTTTTAATTAGTAGGTTCTGCCGTAAACTCGGAGTGAACTAATTTCGCGTTGATGATCATTTGATCACGTTAATTTTCTTGCGCAGGTCCGTTTCCGCTGGGCAGTGAACACAAGTCGAGGTTTGGCACACGTTGACCCTTCACGATATCGCTCCAAAGAGACCTCTAGTTTCCTTGTATACAAGCCCCAGATTTCCTTATCTCAGGAGGCAGAAGAGAAGAGAAAGAATTACTATATAAGCCAAAAAAGAGGCTTCTACACCACTGACTCCAGTGGCGGCAGCAATAAGGGTGCCAATGGGTTTCAACCTAACGGATTCATAGAAACAGATGAAGGGAAGATCAGGAAAATAAGAGATAGTTCTCAATTTCAAACTCATTTTAACGAGGTAGATAATACTTCAACCCACGCCTTAAAGAAATTTCCATTGTATGCCTCAATCGGAATTGAAGAAGAAATATTAAGGAATATTCGTGATCCCGGTAATTTGAACGATGAAAAATCAAACGGGCGACTACAAGCCGGTGTCATGGGTAAGAAAAATTGGTTTGATCTCGACACACGCACGAAGAGCAGCAACAATCAACAGAAAATTAGCAATTTCATTCCAGATTCTCAGGAGAAACCGAACTACTTCACGGTAGATGTCTCAAAGTCTGGTAAAAGAAATCGTCTAGAACCATTAGTGGACTCGACGCAATTCGCGACAACGTCTGGAGGAGTGACACCAGCAGAAGGCGTGGTCTTGGACGAAAATTTGAGTCTCGAGGACATGGGACTTGAGGAGACCTACGGGGTCATATACTGCTGGGGGGAGAACGCACAAGGCACGCAGCAGCAGCCTTGTGTCATAACCGTCACCCCGGCGGGTTAGTTCAGGCAATTTTTATTCTAAAAATGTCTAACCACTATTCTTTGTTATATCGATTTGTGAGTCTATTCTAATTTCAAGCACGCTAAAGAGATTAAAGTTTATACCAAACTGAATTTCATTTAATTATTTTAACGTATTCATTGATCAACCAACAGTTGCTATTTGCGTGATGAAAAATGTAATAGTGTAATAAAAATCGCTATCGAAATTTTCAAATTAATTCAAAATCGTAATTTCAAAATAATTCAAAAAAGTATTTTCAAATTTATTCAAAAAAGTATTTTCAAATTAATTCCAAAAAGTATTTTCAAATTAATTCAAAAGTATTTTCAAATTAATTCAGAAAAGTATTTTAAAATAGTTGCAATAAAAGTATTTTCAAATTAATTCCAAAAAGTATTTTCAAATTATTTCAAAAGAGCATCTTCAAATTAAATAAAAAGTATTTTCATATTAATTCAAAAGAGTATTTTCAAATTAATTCAAAAATGTATTTTCAAATTAATTAAAAAAATTTTACATTAATTCAAAAAAGAATTTTTAAATTAATTCCAAAAAGCATTTTCAAATTAATTCAAAGAATTATTTACAAATTAATTAAAAGAATTATTTTGAAATTTTTCAAAAAAGTATTTTCAAATCAATTAAAAAAAGAACATATCAAATTAATTCAAAAAAATATTTTCGGAATAATTCAAAAAAAGGATTTTCAAATCAATTCAAAAAAGTATATTCAAGTTAATTCAAAAATATATTCTCAAATTAATCAAAAAGTATTTTCAAATTATTTCAAAAAAGTACTTTCGAATTAATTAAAAAAAGTATTTTCAAATTAATTCAAAGAAGTATTTTCAAAATAATTCAAAAAAGTATCTTCAAATTAATTCAAAAAATTATCTTCAAAATATTTCAAAAAAGGATTTTTAAATTAATTCAAAGAAGTATTTTCAAATTAATTCTAAAATGAATGTACACCGTATCTTATATTTAGGACCGCCCTCGCCGATACGCGCGTGTCGTATCCTGAACCAGACGGCGGCGGCACTGCAGGTGCTGTGCAGGCCGGGAGCAGATGGGGGACTCAAGCAAACATTCATCGCCGTCGTGAGTTAACGAGTTCAAATTTCTTCAGCTATTTGCAGTGTTCATTTCTCATTAGCGTATTATTTTACTGTTTATATAAATAATTTGTATTAATTTTTTAGAGATACGTTCGATTTCACATGCGCGCATAAAACTTTCAACATTTCTACACAGTGGATATCGTTAGCTTCAAAATTATTAGACAATATTTTTTGAGTCTCAAATTGATACAATATTTAAGACTATCAAAAAGGTTTACCATATCTATAGAATATTGTAGGCAAATGAATCTTGACCTTTAATCGAAAATTTATTGTTTTTACCCTGATATATGCAGCAATATATTCCAACCCAGACTTTTTAAGTAAGACTGTATTTATTTTATTTAGGAATTGATAAATATGATATGATTTATGTATAAATAGTGGATACACGTAATTAATGCAAAGTTAGGCAACCAATAATTTAGTAACATCATGATTACCATTATAGGCAATGTTCTATTTAAAATTTAAACGGTCGAAAAAAAATAACGCTATTCGTCTTTTTTATTCTAAATAATATTATTAAAATAATTTATGTTTCCAAGTTTTGAAATGATGATGCAGCTTGTCTCCGAAACGTTGCCTTTAAAATTTCGTTTAATTTACTTGGCGTTTTCTTTGCTTATATATTTTTCCAATCAACTGCCATATCACCTTTACAACTCCACCAACGCTCCACCTTCTGAAAACACGGACCACACTACACGCCAGTCGCATGCTCTTGCAGACATTTAGTAGCTTGAAAAATTTACGACAACGTTTCCAGGATGCTGCGAACCCCTTAGGAAATTTGCTAGCATCTACGTAGGCGCTTCGTGAATTGCAATCTCTCTGCAGCTTACCCGTCAGGATGACGTAAAATCAAGTTTTTAATCGTGATTTTCATTGAAAACGTGAACGCTTGCTCAGAATCGTTTCAAGGTTAAAGGTTAAAATTTGTGATTTGTAGTCTTGTAATAAACTTGGTTACTTCTTTGTAATTACAGAATTCTTTGATTATTTGAACGTTATGGTAATTTAATTTCATGTTGGGATATCAGCGGTTATTTTCATTCAAAATTTAAGGTTGATGAAGGCATTTTTCGGAATAGGATTAATTAACCTAAATCATATAATTAACCGTAAAGCAAATGAACTTTTATCTCCGCCGAATTGGACAAATGTTTTTTTTTTTAATTTACACCTGCGCAATGACTGTTATAATTTTACAATTATTAATGGGAGATTCGCTGTTTCTAAATTAGATAATTAACCGGAACTGCCGCAAATGAATGTGGATCTTCACAAAACTTGAGAAATATTTTACTTCTATAATTGTAATAAATGTGGCTGTAATAATATGAGGTATGCGGGTTTAGTCATTTCTGAATCAGATAACTAACCGATAACTGCCGGAAATTTGCTTGAATCTCTACCGAAATTGTAAAATATGTTCCTGTGTGTGGCTGTGATAATTACAGATGTGTAGGTTTAGCAACAGATAACATTTTCAAATGAACTCAAAGATATACTAAATTCGTGAAATGTGTTAATTTTACACTTGCGTAATGGCTGTAAAGATTTCAGTGTGTGAGATTAGTCGAGTCTGAATTTCACAATTATCCGACCACACTTTGATCTCCATCAAACTTCTTAATTTCACAGCTGCGCAGTGGTTGTAATTATTTCAAAGTTTAGTCGTACTTGAATATAGCAATAGATCGATAAATGCCGTAGATGAACTTGGATCGCCGCAAAACTTGATCAATTTGTTAATCTAGGATCTGAACTGTGGCTGTGACAATTCCATGTATGTGGGTTAAGTCGTCTTTGAATTAGCTAATTAACCGATAACTGCCGAATAAGAACATGGATCTTTACCAAATTTGATAAATATGTTCATTTTACATCTGCGCTCTGGCAGTATATATTTTATATAAGTGGCTTGAGTCGTTTTTAATCAGGCAAGTAGTCGATAACTACTGCAAATTAACTTGCATCTCCACCAAAGTCGAGAATTACGTAAATTTCATTTTTGCGCAGTGACTAATAATTTCAAGTATGTGGGTTTAGTCTTTTTGAACTGGATAATTAAACGATATCTGACGCAAATGAATTATGTTCATATTCATTGAATATTTTTGAAAAAGAATATCCAGTCATAGTCCAAGGCAGTTTTGAGTAGCAAGGTTGCCACGCAATTCCCTACACAAGTCAGAAGCTGAAAAATAACGCCACCAAACTTGGTTTATTTGCTCAAGTTCAACTATACCGAAGCCTTTTCCCTTGCTACCTCCGACCAGTACACGATTAAAATCAACATTCATTCCCACATAAGAGGGTAAAACTACCACTTTTGTGGGTAGTATCAGGATCATATGCACGCTGCTCTACGGTCGTTCCTTCACGTGTACTATGCTCGATACTAAACACATCAGGACCATAAAGCTCACCAAAATGACCGGCAGCGGCTCTAAGGCCTGACCCTTGCATTTGTGGCTGTCCGAATTTTCGAAGCTACAAAACCGGGCTGTCGTAAAACAACGTCTGCAGGAACCGACACTTTTGTAGCTGAATTCTGCACTTAATAGTTCACTGGCGAATCAGGGACGGCAAGGCATTCGTTATGGAATGGCCAGATAAAGTGCGCCTATAATTCTCAGGGCGGTTCGATTAGGCGGATAGAGGCATCGCAAACTGGAAGCCTGCATATGCCTGGGTTTCCATCACGTCGGTAGGATTTGAGTTACTTCGCGTAGAATGATCTCAAACACTCATTGTTTACAATGAATTTTGCTACTGAAAGTATACTAATAATAGCTTGTTTATTGTATTAATATTTTTTGCAAATATTTACCTCCAAAAAGGTAAAAGATGAACGCACTGGGGAAATCGTGGGCAACGCTACATCCTCTACTCCGCTCCTGACTTTGGCTGGGCTCACGGCCGGGACAGACTACGTCGTACAGGTGCTCAAATTATTTTAACATTTTAATTACATAATAAACTGAAACAGGAATTTGGAGTGCAATCCCTAAATTTTGCTGATGAACTATGGTAATTGTTCAACGTTTCTCTTTGAGAATATAACGCAAACAACTAATTTGTTATGTCGTGAACATGACTACATACGTACATGGGAGCAAAAGCACAGTTAGTGCTAACATAACGATTTTATTTAAAACTATAATTAATATTACTGCCCCAATATGTCTGCAACGAAAATTATCGCAAGTTTCATTCATTCTTGATATATGTTTTAGCATGTAATTTTACCTTCAAATGACTTAAATACGACTCGATTTCTAAGCTATTTCGGTTTACTGGCTTCAAGGTGTGGACACACAACGCCCGCGGCGCCTCAAGGCCTTTTGTGCTCGAAGGCTACGCTTTGAAAGTTGCAGAGAATAAAATAGGTGAGTAGCTGAAGTCAATGGAAACAAAATTGTTGAGGGGCTGAAGTCGATGGAAACAATATTGTTGAGTGGCTGAAGTCAATGGAAACAATCTTGTTGATTAGCTGAAGTCGATGGAAACAAATTTGTTGAGTATCTGAAGTCGATGGAAACAGTGCTGATGAGTGGCTGGAGTCGATGAAAACAAAATTGTTGAGTGGCTCAAGTCCATTGAAACAAAATTGTTGAGTAGCTGAAGTCGATGGAAACAAAACTATTGAGTAGCTGAAGTCGATGGAAACAAAATTGTTAAGTGGCTGAAGTCGGTTGGAACAAAATTGTTGAGTGGCTGAAGTAGATGGAAACAAAAATTTTTGAGTAGCTGAACTCGATGGACACAAAATTGTTAAGTGGCTGAAGTCGATGGAAACAAAATTGTTAAGTGGCTGAAGTCGATGGAACCCAAACTGTAGAGTGGCTGAAGTCGGAGGGCACAAACGTAGTGAATCACTGGATACGTATGCGGAGCAGGCTTGTTGTATGACTAATGTCGTATGTTAGAAGCCGACTTGGTGAGTGGCTGAAGTCGGTGGGCACAAAATAATTGAGTGAAAGAAATCGAGTGTACCAAATTGTCGAGAAAGCGGAGGGAAATTTGATGAATGATTGCAAGCCGCCGAAAGCGAAACCAGCGAAATATTAAAAATTTGTAGAAAAAATGTTTTAGTTACTCAGAGTTTGTAAGAACAGTACCGGAGACTGAAATAAAAATAGATGAAATAGAAATAGGAGAACTGCAGAAAGCCCACGAAAAAAGTAGTCGAAAAATTAGTATTTGTTTTGGAAAACCGAAGCGCATGAGGGGTATGAGGGTTCGTCCAAAACAGAATAGGTGAGTTAATGGAAAAGCTTCTTCCAGCAACTGAATTCATCATGCACTTCAAAGAATTAGTGTTGAAATGGACGATAAGATCAGGTAATCTATTAATTTTGAGTATTTCAGACACGACATAACATCATAGAGTAATTATTAAATTTTTTGGCGAAGTTTCATGTGGCGTTTATCACTTATTAAATAACTTCTTCCTTTTATGTTAGCTTCATATGATCCGTTGAGTAGACTCCCATGTAATATAATTCGTTCCTAAAAGCTGCTACGATATTTTTTATAAAACAATTAATGTATACTTATTAAATGGAAAGAGTTAGCAGAGATACTCTCAATAAATATGTTGTTTTAGTTAATGGTAATTTATTACTGTTATTTTATATAGCGCCGAATAAAACAATAATCTCACAGCAGACATATTTTTCAAAATCATATCAATTTAATTATAAGCATTAATGATGGAAAATAAGAATAATAATTGAGCATAAATATTTAAATGCAGAAACGATCAATAATCTATTTAATAGAATAAATTAACTTCAAAATGCTTGGATGATGATAGAATAAATCAACTTTAAAATCAACTTTAAAATCAACTTTAAAATCAACTTTTATTGATTTTCAAGACAATTATCGGTCAAACTTCAACATGCATAAATTGTTAATTGTCATTTTCAGCATGTTTTCTAAATCATCTCATTTCAAATTTTTTCTCAGAAATTTTAACATCAATGATTCTCAATTTCATTTTAAATTTTACCTTCAGCAATTTCACATCATAATTTTCATTTCATTTCAAAATACTTCTTCAGCAATTTTGCGTTATAAGTCCATTACATTTCAAATGTCTTCTCTGACAATTTCACATAATAAGTCTCATTTCATTACAAATTTCTCCTACAACAATTCACATCAGTAATTCGCATTTTATTTCAGCTTCCTCCTGCAACCATTTCACATCACACTTCAATAATTCCACATCTGAAATTCCACGCACTTTTTCATTGTATTTGTTACCTAAATATGTTCAAACGTATTTTTGTGGCCCAGACAACAGTCAGACAGGGGATGTCAGCGGCCGCCTGTCAGTGCTGCTCGGCGCTAGCAGCGCAGGTTTTGTTCTCATCGCCGCGTGTCTCGTCGTCGCTTCCAAAATCAGAAGAAAGCGTCGCCTTCGGCCGCCGAGATCAGAATCTGATGACGCGCCTAAAACTTCCGTTAGCGAAAACGGTGAGTGTTAACGCCCGTTAGTGAATGGCTCGCTCGAGGCCAGTTAAAAATGTCTTGTTTGAGACAAAAGAATCAGTTGGGCCTAAAACTTTCCTTTGCGAAAACGGTGAGTGTTAACGCGCGTTAGCAAATGGCTCGCTGAAGGCACTTTAAAAATGTTTGAAAAATAAGAACCTGATAACGCGCTGTGAACTTCCCTGCGCGTTAATGGTGATCGCTTGAAGCTTATTAATTAACATCCTCTAAATTCTTGTATAATCGTCAAAAATATGTAAATATATTGAACCATGATTGAGTAATAAACATGAATTGGAATAGAACTGAATTATTGACATCGACTTGAATTTTACGAGGCACGTAAATTCCTTCAAAAAAAAAATTTAATATTAGTCAAAGCCTTTCAAAGGATAAAATGCTTTGTTATTCTTTAAAAATTTATTCAATAATTGGATGAAAATAAGGTCTGCCTCTCAAGATTATAAAGTAATACGTGATTAGCATAGTCCTCCTGACATACAGAGATGAAATCATCAGCAAACGTGCGTTTATATTCCGAAGTCGAAAATTTTGGCTAAATTATGTAATTTTTTGTTAGTTTAACGAAGAATTATAGTTCAACTACTTTTTAATTTTTTGGTAGTGTAGAATTGTAATTGTAGTTCAGTAAAACAAATCTAATGAAACTGCTGACTACATTTGAACAGTAGATGTGTACTCCAGACAAGGTTTCTTTTCAAAGATGTGCAATGATTCCAAAATTCTCGGTTCAGAAGTACCTGAGATGAAAGCTAAATCGTAAAATTGCTCTCGTACGCTTCACTGTTCTGAGTGAGGGAGCACAACCGTATAGAACGTAAGGGCAATCAGATCTCTGGACGGATAATTTCTTCCTCGGTAATCGGCATTCGGCAAATCTGGAGTAGAAGTTGCGAGACGCCATTCGGACGTACGCTAATGCGCACTGCGCACAACTGTATTCGGAGTAAATAATATCTTGACACTTTATAAGAAATCAATTTTTAAATTGTAAATAACAAATTCATGCAAGTTATCTTTCAATAAATATTTTATGAATCTGGTATGCGAACATCAGGAAGAATTCCACTCTATCGCTCTGACGTGAACTTCTTGATTTGAGTAAACAGTTAGTTTGACGATAACTGAGCAAGAGAAAAAAAAATAGTTCGAAAAATTCTATTTCAGAACGCATGGCATGAGAGGCAAATTCCTCAGCCTATTTGCATTGAATTTAATGCGGAGGTACAAGAAAAATATGTTATGTCATTTTCTGAGTGCAAAGTAATGGAACCAACTGCCGTTTCCAAGCTTGTGTTTGTCACAAACCGCCTTTAGGGTTTTAAGCACGAACTTCTTTGGCTTTTGTTCGTTTCAAATTGAAAGGGACTAGTACAATAATGAAACCCGGCTATAAAATTTGCTCCACCTAACATTCTCAGCATACTGAATTTGAATTAATTACATATATGTATATTTTATCTGAATGGGTTTCTGTCCAGCCTTGCGTTAGCTCAAATCAAGAAGTTGATGTTAAAGCAATTCTCTGAATCTGTTCCTGAGGTTGATATTAGGAAAAATAATTCACTGAACTTTTTAACCTACTCTGGCCGCGTTGGGAATTATTTTCAACGAGTTGAAAATTCTATTCAGAAAATATTTTCCCAATGTTAACTTGCATGCATTATCGGTTAATATTTTCAAAATGGGTTTCTTGTCCTGGTATAAAAATTAAATTCTTCTTTGATGCATCTTTTCTGGTTCATATGTACAGTTTTGCACATTGCGTACAAGCATATATCAAGGTGTTTTCGCGTAACTTCTACGTCAGATTGGTCGAATACCGAGAAAGAATTTACCGTCCTGGAGATCTGGTTACTTATCCGCTCCATTCAGCAGCGCGCCTTCCTCCTCTCCGAACAATACGCGGCGTTCGAGAGCAGTTTTAAGACTTAAGCTTCCGCCTACGGTATTTCTGAATTGAGAATTTTTTAAATCCTTGCACATGCTAAAATAAACTTTGTGTGAAAAACGAACATATGTCACCCTAACTAATTTCAATTTTAATCTCTACTATGCGAATTTATTCGTTTGTTTTTTCTTTTTAATTGATTGTTTCAGTGAGATTTGAGCTGATGAAGCTGGTCTTCGAAACGTTTTCAGTTAGATTACGGGTTATATTCTAGTACTTTTTATTTATTTTTATTTTCGTTATCAATTTACGGTTTATGCAAACAAATGGTCTCTAGATCTCTATAACTTGAATTGGTTTGATTACTAGAATATTTTATTGATAAAGAACCGTTCGGAATTCTCTTTGATTAAACTGACACAATTTCTTGACCGGTCTCGTGACAGAGGGCGAAGAAGACGAGACAGAAAGGTCGAGACAGCGGCGGAACAGAGAGACGCAAGAGTCTCGTCTCGATGTCCAATCGAGTAATGGACCTGATCTTCTCATGAGGGTGAGAATAATAATTGACATTGCATAACATAATCGCTGGATATATATGATTTAAAGATTGTATTAGTATGCCGTCTAGAAATTATTAGAAACAAAACTAGGTTAGATCGTAGGCTTAGATCATTGAAGGCTAGATCGTAAATGATTCATCGTAAATGAATTATTTTTCTCCTCTTCACGTACGAAGAGGAGAAAAATACACCTGAGTATGGATATGCTTGTTAGATTTTTAACTTTTGGGAGTGGAAGTCTAATGGGACATTATGTATAAACCAACTGTAATGATTAATAGAGAGACAATTTGAACAAGAATTGTATGATAAAAGTTGAGCAATATGACTTGAATAAAGAACTGGAATAGAATGAGGGATTAGTTAGTAAAACTATTTTATCACGACATCACTAATTGTTAACTGAAATATATTAAAAAATTATAACTCAGTACTCACTACAGTGAGTGACAGAGAGCGCATTTTCTTGTCGACGAAAACGTGAAGTCACGGACGGACAGACAGACGGACATGGCGAGCTCAATAGCGCATTTTTTCATAAATGAAAAAATGCGCTAACAACACAACAAGATTCGAGTCCTAGTAGATATCAATCACACATTAAAATAAAAACATGCATATCTATCTCATATGACGAATAATTTTCACTGCCCTTTGATTCCCAACTTAAGTTACGGACTTTTCAAACTCCATGCAAAAATTAAATTAAATAGTTTTCCGTGCTCATCTGTCATTGGACTATTACAAATGACATAATAAAGAAATTGAAATAAAAGAAATTGACTCAAATTTTCATCGAATCTTTGAAGGAAACGTTCCAGATCTATTTCCATTGTCAGTTGGAAAATTCTGGCATAAAAGTATAATTAATTAGTACAAATAAAATTTTCGCAGCAGATAATAAATCCTATATAAAAGCCAATGCAACGGAAATTAATAACCAGGAGCTAGATCTATTGATTTCATTTGCAAATGGATTTGAATTAAAGACGGTGTTCATACTAGGCTTCAGTTGAAATATTTATAGATTCCAAAATTCACATTTCGGAAGCAGTGGCAGAGGACGCCAGAATGAGTGCAGCTAAATGAGGCGAATGCGTAAGCAGGTTTCTCGTTCGATAACTGTTACCTTGATACTACGTCGGTATAGAATAGAACTTGTACGAGTACACTCCGACGTTTGCTTATTCGCATTGACGATCCTCTATGGACAGGGAAAATTCTTGCAAAATAGGAAGGATTTTCAAATTATTCCTCAACGATAGACGACGAATTGACGTTTCGGCTAGAGTTGTATGCTTAAAAGCATGGCAAAATGGACCAGCCAAGCAACCTTTCAGAACACAAAATACAAACCATGTGCCAGGGCATAAAGAAAACTATTTCCTGACATTATTTAAACTAATGATACTTATACTTTATGATTTCTAAACTGGCGATTATGCTGGACTTTCCATAAAGTTTTCTATAAACAAATTGTGAGGCATTTTTATTTTTGCTTCTGAATTCTTAGACAATTTTGATTCAAGCTAGCAATATATCCAGATTTTTATACAAATGGTATAGCATTTAATTTAACAATCAAGTATAATATTGGCTAACATCGTTGACAATTATGAAATCAACAAGAATAAACTAACTTTTAATAGCAAAATCAATTCACCCTGAAAGTTTCACCGGCTGCGGGAGATTGAATCAAGCTAGCAATATATCCAGACATTTGTACAAAATATACAATATTTAATTTCACAGTCAGGTATAATAGTGGCTATCAGCGTTGAAAATGATGTAATCAACAGGAATAAACTAATTTTTTATAGCAAACTCAATTCAGCCTGAAATTTTCAGCGAAGTATAGGCCAGGGAGATTGAATCAAGCTAGCAATATATCCAGATATTAATACAAAGTGATATAACATTTCATTTAACAATCACGTATAATATTGACTAACAGCGTTGGAAATGATGCAATCAACAGGAATAAATTAACTTTTAATGGCAAAATCAATTCACCCTGAAAGTTTCACAAGCCGGAGAGAAAGTTTTTAGTGTAACTGTTCTCGCGTGGCCAACATGAAGTCGCTCAGCAGCGCCTCGTATTTTATCCCTGACCGTCAAAACTGGAAATAAATTCCAGTCTTGTTCAGATCCCTGGCTTATTCGGCGGTCAGACACTGCCAGATTTTTACCTGAATTTCTTTGTGGGTAGAAATAAAATAGAAACAAAAATGTTGATGAGACTCTGGGTGAGCATTTTAAATCATGAAAAAATTCTTCTGCATTTGGGGTCAGACATATTATGCCGTGGAGTTTTTGCTTGCTCTTTAGTGGAGTGCTTCAAAATTACCATCAAATTAATAACACATAAACATTCACGATTTTTTTTGGAGATTTTATGTTATGAATCAAAAGAGTAATCAATCAATATTAATGAATAAAAAATTTTTACAGACGGAGTCTTCGAATATTCCACTCTACAGTCATTTGCAGCCTTCACCGCCCAATGCTGCATCACCAGTTTTCCAACAACAACCTGTATCGCACGAAATACACGAGTGTGGCCATTATCGAGATGAAGGCGCTTTCAGTCGCTCGCAAAATAAAATAAACGTCTGTCATAATTTCCATCCAATAGTTGCATGTCAACGTCCCCACACTCCATCGATTTACTCTCAAACCGTTCCATTATATCAAGGAACTCCGACAGGCAGCGTCTCCGGAGAACATCCTTTGAATAACACAAATTCTAAGCAAAAAACTAAAGAGGATGATGAGAGTCGCGAAGTTCAAAAGAAAACTTGTGAGGGTTGTTATGCCTCCAAATCTAATGGAGATTTGGTCGGAGGAAAAGCTTTGTCTCCGTATGGCCAAAAATTACCATCGTCAATCTCTGAAGTGAACTTTAACTGTTCTTCGATCAAATTTGGAGGAAACGGTACTGCGAAAAGAACTGAACCTTCATGTCCCTGTAAAAGTTCAAGGAACCACTGCAATTACGACTGTACGTCCCTGAGCGTTACGTCGGCTTCACTTTACGATGACGTCCAGAGTCAAGGCAGTTGTCGTCAACCTCCTATGCAGTATGCGACAATTTGCAGGAGCTTCGCAGTGAAGGCGATGGAGGGCAAAATGTGCGCAAATAGCACTCATCCTTACTTAACGCGAGGGCTCAGCAGCCACGACCTCATCACACGAACTCCTCACGATTCTTTTCCTTTCCAAGAATCCAAACGAAAACCAACGGATATAACAGAACAAGAAATTGAGTGCCGTCAAAGACGTAGCAGCATAGTAGGCAACGATACCCAAGAGCCCCCTGCTCAAATATGGACGCATGCTGATACTCAGCGCATAGAAGATACAGCTTGCCATGAGTCTTTCAATAAAGAACTCAGGAGCGGCAGTTGCAGAACACAACGATCAGGAATTGCACCGAGTTTAGGACCCACGGCCGATAAAGAGCAGACTGACCACACCCTGCAGTCTCTTGCCTCCGACAAGACCGCGTGTCATAAAGCGGTCGCCCCATTGCAATGCGTCACAGACCTGCCTAGAGTGAAGAGGGACTCGCATCGTTATTACACACTTAAAGTCAGCAATGCCAGGCAAAATAGCGAGAGCTTCGTTTAGTGCGTAAAATTCAACTAGACAAATTCTATCAATCCAATTAAATTTAATTTCAAGCACGAGTGAGAACTGGATTGGCGTTTCTAATAATGCACCTCAAAGTGGTTATTACTCTAGAAATGCTCAATTAAGAATGTCATGCTATTTGTGAAGATGATTGGATTAATGTCCTGTACAAAAATGTTACTACTTTTGTGCACTTTTCAAGTTTTCATTACACAACATCGATAAATGCTAAAATGCTAAAAGGTTTATTTTACATGAGCATGTGGATAATGCGTAATAAAGTTCCTTCGAAATGTTAATCATGGCAGGGAAATCGTGTATATAATATAAGTTGTAATGAATAAAATATATCTGAATACTCATCATATATAATCTTAATAAATAGTTTATTGCGAAGCTCTGTATTTATCTGCCACTCAAACGAATGCTAAATGAAAAATAAAATAAGTCTGAATAAAAAGGCAAGAAAACTCGCATATCGTGGATCCATAGACAGTTTATTAGAAGGCATAACGTAACAAATCATACACTCGCAGAATTCCGCCATGAATTAAACCTCAAAATTTGCTAATTAATTTTATCACAGGATATTTCGTAACATTGGCACTCTGAATAAAGGGCCAAGAGAAACGAAAACAAATTCAATTTATGAATACTAGACGACGTCAATGCTTATGTCTGAATAATAATTACATGATTGAACTATTTTTTCGAGTATATTGTGAGTGGTTGTGGTAGTGCGTCTAAAACAACTAGACGTGTTCTGTGCGGCGGAACCGAGGCAAAAAAGGTCAAATTACTAATGCACACCAGCGACATCTTCCGGGAGTGCAAAGAGCCTAAATAAAAGACTTCGTTTGGCCTGCCTTAAGTGTTCCAGAGACTCTAAGTGAACTCGTTGGTTTATCTAAAGTGTTCCATTGACTCCAAGTGAACTCGTTGGTTTGTCTAAAGTGTTCCAGTGACTCCAAGTGAACACTTTGGACAAACCAACAAGTTCACTTGAAGTCAATGGAACACTTTAGACTCTAAAGTGTTCCATTGACTCCTAGTGAACTCGTTGGTTTGTTTAAAGTGTTCCAGTGACTCAAACTTTAACTCCAGTGTTTCAAAGAAAATTCGGTGTCACAGATTTAAATAACACAAGAGAAGTTTTTTGAATAGCTGATGTGCTCAAGTGTGTCAAGTTTACTTTCCAAGTGTTTCCAGTTTACTTCAAATTCTCGCTCAAACGCAAACAGAACATGTATTTCAAATTTGAAACTTTAATAGAAGCTTTCAAACGTGGGAAAAATCAAGCATGCGAAACGAACACCCTTATCAATTTACCCAGACCCATTCTATTATATTATCCTTACACCTAGAAGTATAGGTTAGGAATTATCACCATTTATAGTGTAAATATTGACTCCTGAAAGCAGGCTTAAATGAGGACAAATGTAAATAACATGCCATATTTCCCTGATATATATGACTAAAATGAGAGATATTTAAACTTACCTCAGGAGTGAACTATTTTATAAGTTTCATACTGTAACGGTAATCATACTTCGGATTCTGTCAAATACATGCGCTCATGATTCAAGGCTTTGATTTTCAAAACTTTGTATTTCTACAGTTTGTGTTTTTGAAACTCGAAAATCTTCTTCGACATCCTAATTGGCATTCACCTCTTACGACATTTTCATCCTGTTTTTTTATATATATTAACGAATAGCGAATAATTTCTTGAACTTTTTTATCAATGCTTTACCTTATTGGTGAAGTGGCTCCTTGAATCTTTTGAAACTAACTAAGAAACATGAAAAATAAACTCATCATCAGGATACCAGAGTTAATAGTGAGAAGTCGAGGGTGCATTTGTTTCGGAATGCTGGTCGAAAAATCTAAATCATTTACCAAATAGTAAAAATAGTAAGACGCATAACCTGTTCATGCAAATTACACACTTGACATATGCAGCTTCAACTTTAAAAACGATTGATCCAGCCATCAGTTATTGCTAGTTTCATCATGGACATACGGGACTCTTCGTTGTCATAAGAGGCCGAGTAACCGGTCTATTCCTGACATTTGAACCTCTGACGCTCGATCACTGCCATGGGCCACATCATCTCTAAATGTAGGGCCCATCATTGAAATTCCAGAGCTCTAGGCCAAGACCATCACGAGTGTGCAGGCCATCGTCTTTATGCTGAGGCGCGCGCGATCTCGCGGCTTTGCGGGATTGAGAGTCTGGCACAAAGCGGCGCCGCGGTCGTCGGCCGACCTCCAAAAGTCGGCCCATCGTGGACAGAGAATTTGGGTGCACACGGACGATTTTATTGCGACTGCAGAAGTTGACAGACACGGTCTGCTGCCTCAGACAGCCAGTGGTTGTATGGAGTACGTCGATACAGAGGCGAAGCATAAGCCAGGAGATGGTTGTAAAAAGAGTGCGAACAGTGGCAGAACATAGGCTAGCAAATGGTTGTAAATAGAGCAGTGGTTCCCAAACTTTTTCAGGCTGGCGCCCCCTTTCGCTCCCTAGTGAATTTCTAGCGCCCCCCACAGTCACATATAAAATCATGCGCCTCTTGCTGTAAAATTTAGTTCGCTGCAATTTTAAAAGATAAAGGCTAAACACAAATGTGTATTTCGCACATAGGACCCTTTTAGTGAACCAATGTGTTTTTCAGCTGTTTTAACCGTTTCAGCACTAGAAACCTAGGACGTCTCGGGCAAATTTACGGCCGGACTCGTGGCCAGTCGCACGACCAATCTCCAAATTCAATTATCAAGTAATATCACCCAAACTAATGAACGCACCTCAATAAAACTTGGAACATGTATTCATCAGAACTTAACGATGACGTTTAGCTAGCAAAAAATTTTTAAATATCACCTTCGTTCGTGAGTTATATTGCGATACAGGCTGAAATTCGCAATGATCAAAGAATTTCTTCCAAACTACCGAACAGATTTGAACGAAATTTTGAATATACATTCCTAACCACCAAATGGTGTTTTTTAGATTGAAAAAAATATATATTTTACCGTCGTTTGCGAGATTTTTTCATTTTACCGTCATTCTTGGTTTTGCACTTCCTTATTCGCTTTCGTTCGCAAGTTATACAGATATAGGAGAAATGATCGGCCTTTCTACCGGCTGGTTTAACCAAGAGCCGTTTACTGATAGCCGTATAACTCACAAACGAAGGCAAAACGAAAAAATTGTAACGAGCTAAACATCACCGATGCTGAGGTCAGGTATTAAAATACTAAATTTCGTTCAAATCTGTTCAGTAGTTTGCAAGAAATTTCTTGCATACTGCGAATTTAAGCACGTATTGCTGTTTAAATCACGAATGAAACTCGCGAACGAAGGCACAATCGAAAAATTTTTCATGAGCTAAACATCACCGTTCGGTAGTTAGGACTGTAGATTCAAAATTTCGTCCGAATCTGTTTAGGAATTTGGAAGAAATTCCTTGATCACTGTGAATTCGGCCATATAAGTATTGCCATATAAGTATGGCAAAAACAATTGAAGGCAAGATTAAAAAAATTTTCACGAGCTTTACATTACCGTTAGGTCCTAATGAATACGTGTAACAAGTTTCATGGAGTTAAGTTCATTAGTTTGAAAGGTATTCTTTGATCATTGAATTTGGAAATTGGCCGTGAGACCAGCCGCAAGTCCGGCCGTTAATTTGTCGGAGACGTAAACACAGGAGAGGTTAAAAAAAGTATATAACTCAGTACTCATTGCAGTGAGTGAGAGAGCGCATTTTCTCGTCGACAAAAACGTGAAGTCACGGACTGACAGACAGGCGAACAGACGAGACGGACGGACATGACGAGCATAATAGTGCATTTTTTTCATAAACGAGTAAATGCGCTAAACACAGATCTGGGTGAAGAAACCATCGCTGGGAGTCATGATGCGCTGCACGTGCTGTGTACAAATCGTCAAACAAACGTTCGAACTTCTGACTTCGACTTCTGACTGCCGCCCCCATATCGCCCCCCAAACCCCCTCTTCTTCTTTACCGCCCCCCAAAATCTTTCCATCGCCCCTAGGGGGGCGATATCGCCCACTTTGGGAACCACTGATATAGAGAGTAAAAGTCGATACAGTGCCAGAACATAGGCTATCACATGGTTGTATAAAGAGTGTAACAGTCGATACACTACCAGAACATCAGCTAGCAGATGGTTTAACGAAGTATTTTCGTGCCGGTGAAATATTTTATAACGCAGGCAAACGTTAAGAAATGGGGACATACAGATAGTCAAAAACTTAAGATAAAATTATTTTTTGAGGTGAGCAAGCCGTGGCAAACGTTCGCGCTAGTTCAAACAAATAATGACCTACATTGTCACTTTTTATTAAATACAGCCGTCGGGTTTTTGTCTTTTCAAGTAAAAGGCCTAAAATTGATCGTAGGAATGAACAGTCAGCCTGCTTGAACTTAATTGTTCTCAAACCCTTTTTTGGTCTATAATGGTGGATATTTTGAGACTTTTCGTCGCTTAGCACATAGAAAAAGTCCCTGGCAGGAAACTCCTTTCATTTGGATTTAATTAACAAGAATAGACGCGGGAAGAATATATACGATGAAATAAATGTATACGATGAAAATTTTCGGTTCTGAAAAGAGAAGAAAAATCGGCTACGTCGACAGCTACATAAAATCCAGAAGGCACAGAGCGCGGAAATTTCTAAGACAAGTTGAAGCTTCACCGTCAAACTCGGGGCGCGTGAGAAGATGAGATGTGTCAAGGAATATGATTTATCTGGGAATTTCATTTCGAAAATTTAGCAATTAAAAATGCAAAAACGAGATCAAAATTACAATAGAAATGAAAATATTTTTAAAATGAGACATTTTTTACCACTATAAAATTGATATTCTAGCAAAATTGTCCAAGTTTGTTCGATCACTAACAATTCACTTCGTTTCCCTTTACACATTCTTTTCGAAATCTCAAATTTATTTCAATCTCATTCTAATTAATCGAAATCTCTTTTTGTGAACAAATTTTAGGCGCAATTCTAAAGATATTTTTTCTATAATAGCCATCGATTCACAGAAAAATTCCCAAATATTACAACTCTTTCTTACAAAGGCAAACATTTCACGGTCGCCATACCAGAAACAGCGGATAATCTGTTCTAGCATCTCGGTGCTCAGCGGCAGGACGGACGCTCAAATATGCCTGAGAATAAATAAATGGCAAATAAAAAACATTATGAATAAAAAACAGCTCTGCCGTGAACCAAACAACTCTGAGAGCAGCTCTGCTATAAGTATATAACAATTAAAACTATAACAGCAGTAATTGATGTTATCACTGTTACGACCAAAAAAGTAGCTCTGTTGTACCTGGAGTGTAACAGTTCATAGTAGCTGATGCCCTTGCTGTTATTTTTCTATGCCTCTGAGAAGCTCTGCGGGGCCCAAAATAAATCACTCGCGGCAGCCGTCTTTCTGCACTTACTATATATATAGTTACAGTTACTCACTCTCGTTAGTTCAAACAAAGAATGGAGGTACTTTATTTTTATTTTTATATGTCAGTTATTATTAAATAGGACCGTGGAGGTAATTATAAAGGAAAATATTACCAGCTATTATAATTAATATAATAATATAAAATTATTTTAACAATATAATATTATTATAATATTACCAGCTTTAGTATTATAATATTACCATATTACCAGCTCTGGAACGCTGTTCTAATAACTAAGATTACTACCAGACTTTACTACATATGTACAGTTATTTTACCGAAAATTCAGTTTCTGTAGTTTTCAGGATAACTAGCGCAAAAGTTTTTTTTGTCAATAAATAGTAATTGAGTTACCATTTGAACTTTGGTTTGGCATATAATCGCATTCGTTTAGGTTATTCTTCTATTATCCATCACTGAAAACACTACCTGTGCATTTAATTTCATGTTCGCTTTGATGCTACTTCTTTGTTTCAAAAAGCAAATAGAGAAATATTTCTAGTGTCATTATCATTGTAGATTATATATAATTACTTGATTGTACAGCAAGCGTGTAATTAATTGTAGCATACAAATCTTCAATGAAAGCATGACTTTAGTCTTTTCCGCGAAGTCATTCAGTGTAAACTAGATTTAGTCGTCTATCTAACGACAATTTGGCTTAAAATCAATCTAAAATAATAAGCAAATACAGTTAACAACTAATAGCAGCTAAATATCTTTGGGAAAATTTCTTTGTTGTCATAAGCAACGTTTGTAACGAAGTATTTCGTAGAAATTACTAATTTTACCCGTTACCGTAACTGTCAATAGTTTAATACATTTAGTTAAAAAAATATCATTATTAGTAGTTTTTAATTTACTCATTATTTTTCAAAATTTCTTCACTAAATATTTATATTCTTGATAGCAAGTTCAGTAAAATAAAATAAAGTAATCGTGAAATAATTTTTCCTTATTGTCGGGCTTAAAATTGTTTAGAACTTTAGATTTTTCCGGCGCTTCATTTCCTGAAACGTTTTCGATAAAATTTAGCGGAGCGCAGCGTTAACGGAGCTTGCAAGAGTCT